ACTGATAAAGTGGTTGGTTCGGCTCCTCAAAGTCCTGACCACTGATTTGGTCACCACGGTCCGTTCATCAATATAATTCCTGGAGAAATATAGAGGGGTATGCCTTCTGCCAAGTGATATTATGATATAGTTTGATGTCACGCCCCTTTTTAGTTCTATATCCCAGGATCTGACAGCCAAGACCGTCGAATTACCACTATTACGAAGCAAATACAATGAGACCCAGAATCTTTCCGGACATGCCCAAATCCTACAGCTCCTGGAGTTCTGTCTCAGGGCGTACGGAAAAATCTTCGAGCAGGTGAAGGGAACACTACTAGGTTCACCGAGTTCCGGATTCATAGCCGAGGCGGTCCTACAACGGTAAGAGTCAGACAGAAATACTGGGCGCGGCATGTGTATGACACCTGCGTCATCATCGACCGGAATTGGTGCGGATGGCAGAACTGTAAAGAAATGACGGCCTGTCAAATCCACATTCAACGCTAAAGCTCAGTTTGGCCAAGGCAAGTCGCCACTTGGGGAAAACGCGCAGGCCAACGCGTCACACAACGCCAACGCCGCGAATCTAAATGGTTGAGCAATCATCAAGCCCAAGTCCACAACAGGTGATGAAAGTTCAGTAGGTCACGACCCGCACGCCGGACCTCTAGCCGTTAGTGCTCGAGCGGGCAACTATCCATGACATTAGGAGCCGTTAACTATCAGTAGTATGTAGTAGCGTAGTGACTGTATCGCATAAATAGTGCAAATTTCCGTGTATGCGTTACCCATTTCTGCTATTGCCTCTGACGATGGATCAACGGCAGATTTTGAGACGTCAGATGAATAAAATTTTTGTCCCAGCGGTTACATCTACTTCTTCTTGATCCCAAAATTTCCAAAAACATGTTCTCTGTTTTTTTGATACCCTTCTTTGACAGGAAGAAGATAGTGAAGTGGAAGAACTCCAGTCGTCTGAAGAAATCTGTGAGTCCGGCGATGTTTTCCACCGGGAGAAGCCCATGACTGAGTGGACTGGGGTCGACTTTCCAAGAACGCACCCAAATGAACCCAAGGGTATAAACATAGTATTTCAAGCCTACGCGAACTTTCGACGCAAGATATTCGGTAATAAGAACTCTTTAAACAAAGAACATAACGAAGGCGATGCAGAGGAAGAGGAGGATTATGATTCACAATACTATGTAGTGAACAATGAGAGTGTTTGTTGTGACAGCCGTGCTGGTCTCTGTGGTCTAATCCTCCTTCTCCTCATCGATGTAGCCTATGTGGCCTACTCTTGCGCCTGCAACGGCCTCGCAACCGAAAATGATATCCGACTGCTATGGCTCTCCGTACTTGTGTGGTTGGTTATCCTTTGCAAAGTGTACAGAAGACTGGTCCGCCTAGGCAGACGTTGGGGAGGTTGTTTTGCTCCCTTTGATTCTTGCCGTCTTGCTCTCCACAGGGGCTGGCATGGCTTCCTCCATTTGTGCAGGAAACGCTGGGACACCTGTTGGGACCGTGCCAACTGCACAGAGAAAGACGTTAAAGAGAAAAAGCATCTCGTACTTAATTGGTAGGTTGATGATTCTGTCATGCTAGTTTTTTGTCAAATTGCTAAGATTAGCAGAAAGACTATTTCGTCATACTCCTTTAAAGAGCGATAAAAAATAATAGATGCAAAATTCCTAGTGATGGCGTCAAAAACATCATATTTATAAATTTATTCTGCTCACTGGTTTTGCATATTATGTTTTTTTTCAGGGTCGCCATAAGTCTTATGCTCGCCTTCGTCATCCTCTGTCTCGTTTTCTTCGTCATATTGGAGGATGTTCGTAATTTAGTCTCCCTTTCTGGTATAGTCCTGTTGATTCTGATAAGTATCCTGATGTCTTGGCATCCCGGGAAGGTAAGCTGGCTGTTGAAATCCCTTTTTCCAAGATGTACACATATAAAGCCACATTTTTAGAAGTGATTCGGAAAAAAATGTAGTCCATGAAATTGTCAGATATATGCGGTTGTAGAAGAACATGTTCAAGGACTTATTTCCTGCAATGGAGCAATAGTCTGGAATCTAACCATAAAGAGTCCGGCATGTCCGTCATTTTTTTCCCTTAAAAATCCATATTACATTTTTGTCAGTGGGCGCATCATCTGCGTTGACAAAAAATGGCGAAATATCATTATTTTGTTCTTAAACGACTTATGTATCCCGTCTAGAAAAATGCACAATGTGACATTGATTTCGTAGCCAAGTCCCACAAATACCGAAGAATTGGATGAAAAGCCAGATAATCAGGAAAAGTACATTCTGAAATAATACTTAAGGCCTTTGTTGTCTCTTCCAGGATATGCTACAAAGGGCCGGTTTTATATCAGCATTCTACGCCTTTTCGTGAGACAAGACACCTTTATTTCGCAAGATAGCGACTCCCGCCTTAGCCGATTAAAATCACTGCACACCAATCACTATCCTTGTTCCTAAAGGCTAGGCTGCGGTTGCTGAGCCGAGGAGTACAGCCTTCACTATAAGCCTCTTACAGTGCAATTCAGAACATCAACTGAAGCAGTCATCTTAGAAACATAAGAACAGAATACGTGCATTGTCATTTTACGAAAAGCTGTTCTGTTGACTGAGGTCAGATATTGTTCTAGGACACTTCGAGCATTCATATACAATGAACTGAACGTTGGTCATATTAGTCC